GAAAACGCTACAAGACTGCCCAAGAAGTTTTCGAGGCGCCCCAAGAGAGCCCCAAGAGCCGTCCCAAGAGGGCCCCGAAAGGCCACAATAAGTGATTGCCAGTTGGTTTCGACTTTCCGAGCTTCCGACGCTCCAAGACGCCCCAAGAGGTTCCCAAAGCCAACCCAAAATGGCCCAAGAGGCCTCCAAAAGAGGCCCAAGACGGCCCAAGAGGGCTTCAAGACTGCCCAGGAGGCCCCATGAACCTCAAGAGCGTTAATACACAATGCGATCAGCACGAGGAAAGTAGGGACGAGAAAGGAAGGGAGAATACAGCTGATACTTGACAAAACAAGACATCGCCTGGCAAAACAAGACAGAAGTAAACAATACCAGAAAAGAGACGGAAAATGATGATGGAGAAGAAGGCAGCAGCAGGAGGAAAAGTAGTGGGCAGACGAAGAAGTGAGGAAGGAAGGGCGAAAGAGGAGGAGGAAGAAGAGGACGGAGAAGAGAGCGAATGAGGAGACGTTTTAGGCATCCCGCGGAGCTCCTGCAGCAAGCTGCAGCGCTGCTGCCACTCGCTCTCGCCGCTTGGCGGGGGGCCGGTGCCAGCTGCCAGCCTGCTGCGCAGAAGGAGAGGGAAAACGAGGATGAGTGCGAGCATGACCATCATACGACGGAGTCAATGGATGCCTACACAACGCGACGAACTACACGTGGTGGTATGGGTCCCCCTGCGTAGTGGCATGAACCCCCTGCACATAATGCGTCTTGCCCCCGCCTCGGAAGCTGGCGCATCATAGGCACCACTCCACGGCTTTATTCGCACCGCGCGGGGCCACCCAGGCAGCCCCAAAGACCCTCCAAGATGCCTGCGTATAACAAACAGGCCCCTGCGTATAATGCGTCGTCCCCAAGCCTTTCGAGCTGGAGCAATATACGCACCACGGTGGGTCCCAGGAGGAGGGAAGGGGAACGGAGAAGGGAGGAGGAGGGGGAGGGGGGTGGAGGAGGTCCGCATGGCTGAGTCAGCTATGCCTACACCACGCGAGTTGTACCCACGTGGTGGAACGACAACGCTTCTCGGCCGCACAAAACCACAGGCAATAACCAGGACCCACCAGAACACCTGCAGTCCTCACAATACTGGAGCGTAACATGACTATAATACTGCGTATCGTGAGACTGGTCAACCCAGCCCCCCGCTACAAGGAGCTTGGCCTGAGGGGGGCTCAAACCGGATGGTGCCGTTGCATCGTTCTGTATTTACGGCTTGCAGCACACAGGACTGCCGCCACTCGTTGAGAGATGATTTCGAGACCGAAGCTCCACCTCTGGAGCAACGAAGGAGGAGGGGAGAGGGGGGGCGTGTGACGGAGAGGGAGAGGAAGGAGACAAGGACGAGGAAAGGGAGGAGGATAAAAGGGATGAGACTAAGGAGAGGTAAGGAAGATGAGCAGGACAAGGACGAAGAGGAAAGGGAGATGGGATGAAGGATGAGGGTTGAAGGAGCAGGAATAACGAAGGGAAGGAAGATGCGAGGATGGAGGGAAGAAAGAACGAGAAAGAGGGAAGGGAGGAAGAAAAGGATAGGAGGGAGGAGGCGGAAAGAAGGAAGGAGGAGGAATGAGAAAGATGAGGATGGGAAGAAGAAGGAAGAGGATGTGAAGGAGGACGAGGAGGAGAGAGAGAGAGAGAGACGACGAGGGAGGTGACGAATATAATGATAATGCTGACGGTGACGACACCGATGACGATGGTGATGATCATAACAATAATGAGGATGAGAATGATGAGGATGATGGTTATAGTGCTGATGCTGCTGATGATGATGATGATGGTGGTGGTGGTGGTGAAGCTGCTGCTGCTGCTGCTGATGATGATGATGATGATGCTGATGATACTAATGATGGCGAGGGGGATGATGATGATGATAAGAATGATGATGATAATGGTGATGATGGTGATGATGATAATGGTCTTGGTGATGATGGTGGTCTGAATGATGATGATGATGATGATGGTGGTGGTGATGATGATGATGATGATGATGATGATGATGATGATGATGATGATGATGATGATGATGATGATGATGATGATGATGATGATGATGATGATGATGATGATGATGATGTGGTGGTGGTGATGGTGGTGATGATGGTGATGGAAATGATGATGCTGATGATGGTCATGATGATGATGGTGGTGGTGGTGGTGGTGATGAGGAAGAGGAGGAGGAGGAGGAGGGGGGGAGCCGGAAGGGAAGAGGAAGGCTCGTATGCCCCACTCCCTGCCACCCCTGCGTTGCGGCCACTGCCGTTCGACGGATCTACAACCGGACGCACCCAGCACACAGCCCCGCCCCGCCCTCCAAGGAGGAGGAGGAGGAGGAGGAGGAGGACGAGCGACGGGGAGAAGGTCGAAGAAGAGAGAAAGAAGGAGCCCGAGGAAGAGAACGAAGGACGGAGGAGAGGGGGGACTAGCAGGAGGAGCAGGAAGAGGAGGAACAGCAGCAGCAGCCGCAAGAGAAGGGGCAGGAGGAAGAGCACGAGCAGCAGCAGGAGCGAAAGCACGGGCGGAAGCCCGAGCACGAGCAGAAAGAGGGGTCCGAAGAGGAGCAGCAGCAGATAGAACGGAGCAGGACGAGGGGGGCGGGATGAAGTGGCGCTCGACCGAGACTCAGAAGGGGGGCGGGCCGTCCTCCGTCCCTGGCTAAGAAGCCCACTGTCGTGGCTTCAGCACGACGCAGAATGCCCCAAGGCCCATGCAGCCGCACACAAGGTCCGTGGCTTCTCGGGTTCTTGAGGGCCCAGACCCAGCATCTTCTTGAGGTCCTCACTCCTGACGAGTTTCTTCGGGGACCGGACCCCAGATTCTCAATTCTCCCGGGGCTTGGCGCTGGTCCGCCGGAACTTCCCGCTGCCCGTCACGGCTTGTCGCATGACTGCTTCAGGCCCAAGAGGGCCCCGAGACGGGCCAAGAAGGCCCCAAGAAGCTCCAAAGCCGGTCCAAGGAGGCCACGAATCGCCGAACGATCGTTCCGAGACGCTCAAGATGGCCCCACAGACGGCCCAAGAGGCCTCCAAGACGCCCAAAAGAGGCCTCCAAGAGGCCTCCCAGGAGGGCATCAAGATATCAAAATCAATGATTTTCCTCAAGCGTTTGAAAGATTGTGGCGTTCTCGCCTGTCGGCTTCCCGACGACCCCAGACGGCCCTAGAGGCCCCCAACACCGCTCCAAGACAGCCCAAGTGATCTCCAAGAGGGCACCAAAACGGCCCACGAGGGCCCCAAGACAGCCCGAGAGGCGCCCAAAACGACCCAAAAGGGCCCCAAGATGGCCCCAAAAGGGGCCCAAAAGAAGGAACACAAACCAAGAACCCCAGCCTTCCGCCCCAAGAGGCCCGCAGGAGACCCCAAGAGGTGCCCAGGAGGGCCCAAGAGGACCCCAAGAGGCCCCCAAGAGGCCCCCAGAGGCCCCCAAGAGGCCCAAAAGAGCCCCCAAGAGGGCCGCAAGCGGCCCCCCAAGAGGCGTCCAAACTGCCTCCAAGAGGCCCCAGAAAAGCTCCCCACGAGACCCCAACGAACATCCCATAGGCTTCGTACCCACAACCCAGGCAGGGTGGCGGGATGGGCCGAAGGCCATCACATAGTCTCAAGACGGCCCAAGACGTCATAAAGACGGCCCAGAAAGCCCCCAAAACGCTCAAAGGAGGTTCCAAAAGAGCCGAAAAGAGAGCCCCCCATGACAGCCCAAGACAACCAAAAGAAAGCCCCAAGAGGGAGTCAAGAGGGGAACCCGAACTGACAATTCGAGCTGGCATCACAAGGCCCGCGAAAAGCCCCGAGAGTTCAAAAACAACAAACAAAAACTCAAGAACCTTCAGGACGAAAAGTTGGAGAAACGGGCATTCCGCACGGACGGAGGATGGAAGTCGAATTCTGTTTTGAATGTGCGCGGGGGTCCTGCTTTAGGCAGACCGCTGAAACACCACATCAGCTACGCTCAGGAAAAGCCGTGCCAGACTTTCATGGCAGGCCCCGATGCAGTTGGGACCACACCTCCTTCCCGCTCTTCGAAAGGCATGACCCTCGGGCGGGATCTCTACAAACTCCGTTAAGAATGCGGGGAGGCGCAACAATACAAAGCCCCCGCGCACAGTGCAAGAATAAGACGCCTCGCAGCACTGCCAGGCGATAGGTGGAGTCGCGTTGATCGGCCAGCAGGTGGTTGAGAGGCCCCAACACAGCACAGACGGCCCCAGGACATCAGGGACAGGGTCAGGATCTCCATTCCTCCACCTGTCTCGCTGGGGAAGCAACCGAACCCGTCGCTGGATATGGCAGCGGGGCTTGCAAGGCGTGGGCCAAAACGCAGAAAGCTTGTCCTTCAGGCCGAAGCTGAGCTGGCAGCGTTCCCATCGAATGCAAGCTTTCTCCACACAAGGATCGTGACCCGTCTCATGAAGGCAACACACTCGCCTGAGAGGAAACGACTCCGCGAGTTCGCCTCGGCTCGCGAAGGTCACCACGTTGCTTGTCAGACTGAAAAAAGACCTCTCGCTGCACGGCGAAAATCCGCTTCAAAACCTGGCGCGCTGGTGCATCAGCGCGCAAGTTGGCCCCAAGATCGTCATCGCCTGGCTGGCCTTGTTCGGCGGCCCAGTCGGCGAATCGATCGGCAGCCCCATCAAGGCACACTTCTGCATCAGGCAGGAACACAGTATGGGTCTGGGTCTGGGTGGGGCGACCCGTGGTCCAGATCAGGTTGAAGGTCCCCCCACGTTCTCGCATGATACGGTGATACTCAGCCCACAAGTACAGCACATTCGACTTCCTGCTAGCCCCCAAACTCTTCCCAGCGCCTTTCGCCACGAGCAAGCAATCACAGTAAACTCGACAATCGGCGGCAGAAGCACGTGCAAGCTGGACAAGGGCAAACAGCTCGGCCCTCGGGGAAAACTGTCTGGCACTGGATAAGGTGCCGCACCTTGCAGAGTCGATCCTGCCGTCCGCGCCTCGTCGGACGAAAGACCAACCACACCGCCGAAGCTTCCAATCACTAGAGTGTTCACCCCCAGACTCATACATACCCCACGCACACACCCTCGGATAGGTTCGGGATCCAGACACCGTCACCAATTCCGCACCAGCTCCTGAGGAGGGGGAAAATGGCCCATGGAATTCAACAGCGTCGGGAGCCCTCGACACCACAAGCCCGCCTTGTCGTTTTCAGAGACCACACGGGGGGCGAGCGACTCGGTGCTGAAAACTGAAGCGTCAGGGATTTCTCAGAACGTCCCGCAAAATGCCAACAGGCTCATGCTCACCGTCACGAGTTAGCTCGGCTAAAAACTTACGCACCACCGCAAAATCAACTCCAACGGTTAGCCCATCCCGGCAAAAGTGCTTGGAAGCCTGGCCCCAGGACAGCACAGAGCACGTTTAGAGAAGAGCACTCCACACATGGAACGGGAAATCACCATCATCAATCCTCAAACCCTCAGCCTCCCCTCCAGTAAAACGGGGGAACCGCTCGCCTGCCGAAACTCCTGAGCACAGATATGGTTTCCGAAGTCGGCCCCGTCACAATCTGCCACCGATGTTGCGTTTGGTGCATGTTTCGGCCCAGACCTGCACACAACGCACGCAGTCTTCGTAGCCCAGGTAAACCCACGCCTGAAACAAATCATTTCACCGCTGATAGCAACGCCAAAACTGGAGGCCATCCTTCCCAGACCGTAACAGTCCCAGAAGCTCGGACGGAGGATGGAAAAAAGTAGAGGGGGGGTAAAAAGGAAGGGAGAGCCAAAGCCCATGCACGGCAGCCTCGCCCTCTGGAGACGTTCGTCCGGCTCATCTTCCTCGTCGGACTTGTCGCCCTGCGGCAGTGGGCCCCCTCCTTTTCCTCCTCCTCCTCCTCATCCTCCTCCTCTTCCTATTACGACTACTACTACTACTGCTACTACTACTACTACTACTACTACTACTACTACTACTACTACTACTACTACTACTACTACGACTACGACTACGACTACGACTACGACTACGACTACGACTACTATACCACTACGACTACCACTACTACTACTACTACTACTACTACTACTACTACTACTACTAACTACTACTACTACTACTACCACGACTACTAGTCCTAATTCAAGTAAGATTAGTACTCCTCCTTCACATCCTTCTCCTCAGCTTTCTCCTCATCATCATCGTCGACGTCGTCATAATCATCATCATCATCATCATCATCATCAGCATCAGCATCATCATCATCATCATTCATCATCATCATCATCATCATCATCATCATCATCATCGTCGTCATCATCATCATCATCATCATCATCATCATCATCATCAGCATCATCATCATCATCAGCATCAGCATCATCATCATCATCATCAGCATCATCATCGTTTTGATCAGCATCAGAATCATCAGAATACTCATCATCATCATAATCACCATCATCATCATCACCCTCATCCTCGTCGTCATCAGTCTCGTCGTCGTTATCATCATCATCATCATCATCATCATCATCATCAACATCATCATCATCATCATCGTCATCATCAGCATCATCATCATCATCAACATCGTCAGCATCATGGTTGTCCGCGTCGTCGTTGTCGTCATCATAATCATCATCATCCGCAACAGCATCATCAGCACCATCAGCATCATCATCATCATCAACATCGTCATTACCATCGTCGTCGTCATCATCATTATCGTTATCGTCGTCGTCCTAGTCCTCGTCCTCGTCCTCGTCCTCGCCATCGTCATTGTCCTCATCATCACCATCGTCAGCAGCATCATCAGATGTCTCCTACGTGTACTTGTCACCATCGTCGTGCCAAAAAGCCCTGAGCGAAGGAGAGCTAGCCTACCTCACCCCGTTCAGTCTTTGCTTGCGGCCCCGCCTGCCTGAAGGAGTGGGCCCTCTCTTTCGTGCGAACCGCACGGATGTCACCTTGACCCCTGCACGGGCTGGGACCACATGAGCCTCACGGACAGGCAACCTGAGACCATTCCTGGTCTCCCTCCTAGATAGTACGTTGCCACCATCACCAAGATCAAGATATTCAGATTCGCGACAGTGGTAGCGCCGAGCTGATCCAGAGACACTACGGATCGAGCCCAAGGGCGCCATTCTGAAATGGGATGGTTGCCCAAATAAGCGGCGGCATTTTGATACTGCGGTGGAATGGCTCCCCACACTCTCCGAAAGAACGATGATTGACAGCGAACCGTATGGGCAGATGTTACAAACCAGGACCTTTGCTGGGCCCCAGCAGATACTACGAAAGGCCAGCTGCTACTATGGAGGACCTACGCGGCAGCCCCTCCAGCCTGCCGCTGATCCCCCTCCCTCGTCCCTGCCCTCCTTCTTTCCGCCACCCCGTTGTACGCACATGTCTTCCTTTCTATAATTAAACCATAAAAATACTACTCTCCTCTCTCCCCTGGTGACGTCTGGGAAATGGCCAGCACCCCTCCGCGTACTGGTTTCTCACACACAAGATTCGCAGAAAAAAAGTGTTCGCCTGGCTTTTTTCCAGAATGCTGCTCTCGCTGAGGCGCTGGCTTCATTTTCGGGCCACCGCTCGTTCCGAATCGTGTTCCCGCTGCAGCGCCAGCCTCATTCCGCGCTTCCGCTCGTTCCGAATTGTGCTCCTGCTGCAGCGTTGGCGTCATTATTTCCAGCGCCATGCCACGGCATGGTGTTCGGTCTTTCCGAATAGGCTCGAAACAAATCTAGAAAATTGATCCCCGAAAAAACATTGGAAGCGATTACACATTCGGTGTCAATTCGTTGATTTGGGTCGCAGAAGCCCCCCCCCCCCACTTTGGGGCGTCGCCACGCCATGCTATGTCAGGCTCCGCGTCCTCCGAATCGTGCTCCCGCTGCAGCGCTGGCCCAGTGCCATGCGACGGCATGGTTTCGGCCCTTCTAAATAAGCCCAAAAATCTGGAAGATGGCCTCCCGAAAAAAACATCGGAAGTGACTACACATTCGGTGTCGATTCGTTGATTTTCTGGGCCGCAGAAGCCCCCCCCACCTTCAGCGTCGACACGCCATGCTATGCCATGCTACCCGTTGATCTTCAACACCACGCCATGGCATGCAATGCTATGCCATGTTACGACACCCGATTGTGCGAACAGAGACGAAATCTACGCCATGGTAATGGGGTGGGAGGGAGGGGTGAAACGTCAGATATGACGCGAGCGCACCTAGCTTGCCTCCCCCTCTCCCCCTTTCCCACTGCCTCCGTCCTCGCCGCCTCCCTCCCCCCCGGGCCCCCTCCCCCTCCCCGCCCCGTTCCTCCCTGCCACCCTCCTCCCTGCCTCCCTTGAAGGGGTCCTGGGACACACAAATAAATACACACAAATACCAGGATTCCCCATATTTTCCCATACCTATACGACCGCCCTGCGGGCGATAAGGAGGTTGGGGGGGATTGAAATCAAATGAACTGATGGATTGGGTTGGGTGGATTGGATTGGATGGGATAAGATGGATTAGATAAGATAAAATAAGATGGGTTGGATTGGAAGAAATGAATTGGATATGATAAGATGGTTTGGATTGGCCCGCCGCAGGCGTAGACAAATGAATTGATGGATTGGGTTGGGTGGATTAGATTGGGTGGGATAAAATAAGATGGGACAAGATGGGTTGAATGAGATAAGATGGAATGGAGTGGACAAGATGGATTGGATAAGATAAGCTGGATTGAATAAGAAAGCCCGCCGCAGAGAGCGGACAAAAGTGAATTGATGGATTAGGTTGGGTGGATTAGATGGGATAAGATGGATTGGATTAGATAATATGGGTTGGATTGGAAGAGATGGATTGGATAAGATAAGATGGATTGGATTGGCCCGCGGCAGGCGCAGAAACAAATGAATTGATGGATTGGGTTGGGTGGATTAGATTGGGTGGGATAAGATAAGATGGGACAAGATGGGTTCGATAAGATGAGATGGATTGGATTGGACAAGATGGATTGGATAAGACAAGCTGGATTGTATAAGAAAGCCCGCAGCAGGCGCCGACAAAAATTAAAAATGAAATTAGCGACATGCATTAGCGCCGGGACGGCCGGGACACCCGGGACACCCGGGACACCGCCCGGCCCAACTGGGACACCTCCCGGCCACCGGCGGACGGGAAACGAACTATCGCTCCTACTGACACCTGGGACACCCGGGACACCGCCCGGCCCAACTGGGACATCTCCCAGCCACCAGCGGACGGGAACGGACTTTCGCTCCTACTTCGGCCTAGCTACAGGAGGATCACGCGCAGCTTCGCCTCGCCCGCACGCACGGCACGAACACGAAACCGAAACCGAAAACGATTTCCAGGTGGGGGTTCTCCGTTTCACTGCGATCTCACCCCCCAACCTCCGATTTTGTTGGGTTTTTGTCGCCCCGACTTCCCATATTTTCTGGGGAATCGACGATTAATTGTGTCTGTGTGTTTTTGTCCCCTCCTGATCCCTGGTCCCTCCCCTCCCCGCCCTACACCTCCCCAACCCCGAGCGCCCTCTCCTGACGAGCGGCGGACATGTCTGGATCCGCGCCATCGCGGTCGGCGCGATCCCGCGGATCCGCGGTCGCATGGATGCGCCCCGCGCGGAGCACCCGCGAAAAGAACGCCTCGCTATCTGCGGGGGCTCGCGGCCCACGGGCCGGGCCCGCGAGGCCGCGGATCTGGATGCGTTGTTCGCCCTACCCCCCTCCCGAGGAGCAGAGCGCCGCCGAGCCTCGCGCTCGTCGCCGTATCCCGACGCCTCCGCCCACCGATGGGTGAGGGGCGGGGCGGGGGGGGCGCGGCTCGACTGGCCCCCCAGCGTGCAGCCTGCTCGGCGCGTCCATCCCTGCGCTCGCCGGCGGAGCTTTCCTTCCTCGGGAGCACACATCCGAAAGCCGCCCCCGCGCTGCGCAGGGGCTGATGTGTGTGTGTGTGTGTGTGTTTGTCTGTGTGTGTGTGTCTGTGTCTGTGTCTGTGTCTGTGTCTGTGTCTGTGTCTGTGTCTGTGACTGTGTCTGTGTCTGTGTCTGTGTCTGTGTCTGTGTCTGTGTCTGTGTCTGTGTCTGTGTCTGTGTCTGTGTCTGTGTCTGTGTCTGTGTCTGTGTCTGTGTCTGTGTCTGTGTCTGTGTGTGTGTCTGCGTGTGTGTCTGTGTGTGTGTGTCTGTGTGTGTGTGTCTCTGTGTGCCTCTGTGTGTCTCTGTGTGTCTCTGTGTGTCTCTGCGTGTCTCTGTGTGTCTCTGTGTGTGTCTGTGTGTGTCTGTGTGTGTCTGTGTGTGTGTCTGTGTGTCTGTGTCTGTGTCTGTGTGTGTGTGTCTGTGTGTGTCTGTGTGTGTGTCTGTGTGTGTGTGGTCTGTGTGTGTCTGTGTGTGTGTCTGGTGTGTGTCTGTGGTGTCTGTGGTGTGTGTCTGTGTGTGTGTCGTGTGGTGTGTGTCTGTGTGTGTCTGTGGTGTATGTGTGTGTCTGTGTGTGTCTGTGTGTGTCTGTGTGAGTCTGTGTGGGTATGCTGTGTGTGGTCTGTGTGTGGCTGTGTGTGTCTGTGTGTGTCTGGTGTGTGTCTGGTGTGCCTGTGTGTGCCTGTGTGGCATGTGTGTGCCGGTGTGCCTGCTGTGTGTGTGTCTGTGTGTCTGTCTGTGTGGTTGTGTGTGTGTCTGTGTGTGTGTCTGTGTGTGTTCTGTGTGTGTCTGTGGTGTCTGTGTGTGTCTG